TATTATCTCTCTACATATTTTTTTTAATATTATTTATTTATTTAAATAATAATTCATTTCACCTCATGTTTTAATATCAGGCCGCGCAACGCGCGGGTGGTGTACTAGTTTGTTTCTATTTAGCTGTTTTGATTTCGCTTTGGCAGAAATACTATGGAGCTATCCGATGGTTATGGATTCATCCATAACTTTATGTATTGACACGTGTCTAATGTGTATTTATTGCAGCACACGTGTTAACACACCATTTGTGGATAACAATAGATGGCTCTAGACATGACCAAAATCCGGGCCGGGTCACGACCCGGCCCAGCCCACCGGGCCGAAGGGTTGGGTTTGGTGGACCCTGAACCGACACGGCTTAGGTCCGTGTCGCGTCCATGACCTGACGAGCCGGGCCGGGTCGGGCCCGGGTCTGGACCCGTCCCAATAAAAAAAAAAAAAAGAAAATTTCAAAAACCCATACATTTTTTTCGTGTCGACCCTAACCCGGCCCGGCCCGCAGGGTCATGGTCTAAAAAATCTCGACACGGGATTGGCCCGGATGAAATCCGAGCCGGGTCTAGACCCGTGGTCAACGGGTTTGACCGGTCCGGGTCTGGGCCGGGTCCGTGCTGGGTCCGGGCCGGGTCGGCGGGCCGGTTGACCCGTGGCCATGTCTAGATGGTTCCATAAGTGAGTCATTCAATGGCTCCATAGCAAAACCGTTCTCTTTGATTCTTCTTTTTTCTCCTAATTGTTAGCTATTGCTGTGATTTGCGGTGTTAATTGTTGAAATATAGTTTAGTTGATCGTTATTTTTCTTTTCAATATAGATTTTTTTAGTATGTTCTACATGAATGTTCATTTTATTAAAACGTAGTATTATGAGTTAAAGCAAATAGTTTATTGCTCATAGGATAAATTAGTTGATAGTTTATAAGTTAATTAGTGACTAATACGAATTGTTTATGATAGTTATGAACTACGGTGTCAATAGTAAATTATTGAAAGAAAAATAATTCAATATGTTATTTAAAAAATGAGTGATATATAAAATAATTGGAATCTTTGTTTGAAATATATGATATGAATATTCAATTTAGAAGCTAATGAATATTATAGCGTGACTATTTCATTCACGAAAATGAGAAAAATACGAATTGTATGGAAATATTTAGTTAATATGATAAAATATATTTATACCTTAATATATAATGCAAATACCTTTAAAAGTGAAAATAATAAAAACTTCAAATTTTAGTATGTAAAGAGGATGGGAAATAAAAAACACGTATTCACTAAATACGGTTTCTTCACAATTTGGTTGGAAAACGTATTCACAAAATACGTTTTTACAGAATTTTTTATAAAGACGTTTTTCAATTAAATTTTGTAAAAAACATATTCATAAATACGTGTTTTTTTATTTATTTCTACACCTCTCTTTTTTTTTTTTTTTTTTTTTTTTTTTTTTTTTTTCTGTCCACCACTTGTGCTCAGAATTTTTTTTCGTAAAAAATTCTAAGAAAGTATACTATTTATTCTCATTTTTATTAATAATAATTATTTTTTCATTCTCACCAGTGCAAGTTTAAAATAAAATTTAATTACTATTGCAAATCTATCATAAATTTATAACTTTTCGGATTTTGTTGCATTATTATAGCTTTCAGATGGTAATTGTACTCTACAAATGCAAAATTAGTCTTAATCGGTGGAAATTCAGTCTTTGCCTTTTTTTTTGTCGCGAAAGTAATCCCAAAGCTGTCAAAAGTAGCGGGAGTGTCACACGCGGGTCACTTGACCATTGATCGTTATGTTGAAAATGATGAAATTGCAAAGTTAGTTCCATAAGATTGACCGTGTTGCAATTTTGTCCCAAATGTAGCAAAAATGGTTCTTTACTATTTTTTATTGCAATTTTATGTCGTGAGTATATAACAATCTTCGATAATAACCAATTTAGTTTTTAGACAAAAAAAAAATATCAAACTTTCAACATGTGACTTATTTATATATTAATGTTAACCATGATTTTTTTTTTATTATTTTTTTTTGGCATAGTATGCTAAATAAACCATAAAGCCCTATGATGCAAATTAGAAAAATCTTTTGATTTATGAAAGAATTTATTTATTTATCAATTGCTAAAACAAAAAATTTAATTTATTATGAAAAATAAATCTAATGCATACTGGTAAAAAAACTTTAGGATGACTATTTAATTATTCGGTTAATTAACATAAATAAATCTACAATGTGACCAAAGTTTTTTATTTTTTACAAATTAGTTGTTAATTATTATAAAATAGGATAAATACCAAAAATTGTATAGAATCACATGAGTGTATATTTTGTAAAACGCTTATACAAAATATTTTATTTAAAATTTATTTACATAAATTTTAATTTATTACATTACAAATAATATGAACGTACATTAAATACTTTTCATGGCCTAACATAAAAAATTTTACTTCCATAATTTCTATAAATAACAATAATAACGCTATTGACCATAAATTTTAGATTTAAAATAATAATTGAGTATCATATAGGGAACAAAAATAAGTAAAACTTTTATTTTATTATATATAAAGATATATATAGATATATTAAAATTAAATTTATATTAGTATAAACATGTTAGCGGAACAATATATTAATTAATTTACAAGCTAACTTTACTGCGCTCAGCTTTAACGTTTTGGCTAAAGAAAACAAAAATGATTAAAAATGGTGGAAAATAGATGATCCAACTATAATGTTGAGCCTAAACGAACATGCCATACGAGAATGACTCATTTAGCATAATTTGTTCGGCACGTGCTACATAGTAGTAAGTAGTAAGTAGTAGCCAAGTGGACAAAAAGATTGGCTACATAAGGCATAAGATGCTCACGTGCCTTTTCATTTCTCTCATTCTATGTGCAAGAAAAAAACGAACATGCCATAATTGGACTGCGTCTTTCACTCCCACATTTTTACCTTATTTTTTCTTTATTTTTATTTTTTTTAGAATGAGAAATCAAATAAAAAATGCATAATTATATATAGACACAAGTTAGAATTAGCCAAACTGTCATCCAGATAAATCTAGTGGAAGGAATACACAAGTACAACCTAGAACCACTACGGAATAACACTCTCCCAACGACCAAGAGCGGACGCAAACTCACAAAATTAAAGGGGGCACGAACATAATTTGTATACAATAAAAATATAAAAATAAAAAGGGTAATCGTTCTCTACATGTTCTCATATATTGTATCATCTATAATCACATAAATTTTAAATTATTAAATAAATCTTTCTCAAATATCTTTTTTCTTTTTTTTTTTTTGCATTGAATATTTCATTCCATTTCAGCATTCGTGGACTTCTATTTTCAATATTTCTTCATAAAATTTTAAAATTGTATTAGTAGAAAAGATAATGGCAAATACAATTTAGTAGTTAATTTATAATTATAATTTTAAGAACGCCTCCAATACAATATGTATCAAAACCAACAACAAGAGTTTAAAAATCTTAATTAAGCTGACTTTACATCAAAGTTTTGGAAGCTCTAAAGATGACATTTTTTTTTAAAAAAAAAAAATCTTAAATATAAATAGAGGGTTACATAAATTTAAAATATAATTTATTAATAGATAAAACATGTGAGTAGAAATAAAAAATCTACTCAAAGACGAAATTGTGAAAGAATTAATGTGATATTTTTATTCTTAGAACAGTTGCATCCTTTTATTTAATTAAGAATTAATTACATACGATTTTGGAGAAAATAAACAGTTTACTAAATAATTTTGTTAATAAATAACATAACATATTCTTTTTATAATATAAATATATACACTATTTATTTATTATTATTATTTTTTAATCTCAACAACGGCATGTGCCCCCTCCCTAGTATGCCCATGCCCACAATTGGCAAAACACTCCACAACCCACCAAGACCCGACACCCGAAGGCGAACGCACGCACCAAAAGAAACTTGACCCATGAACATATCCAGAAAATTCACTCCTCAATGGACCACCACCAGACCAACAACCGAAGTACAGACACAACAATCGGCCGGAGTCAACCCGCACTCACAAACCGATTTCGACTCATTAGCACCAAAAGAAAACGAAAAAAATGGAAATGTGGTTCAAGATAGCTCTGTAAACGAGCCGAGCCGGCTTCGACTCGTTAAACAAAAGATCCTGAAATCGAGCTCGAGCTCGAGCTCAACTTGTTTATACTAACGAGCCGAGTTCGAGCCGAGTTCTACGGTCCCGTTGCGAAATCATTCCATCGAGTCTTGTGACCGTCAAAATCATTACGCTAGACACAAACGTAAAATCCAAACTCCAATTTTTTATTTTTTATTTTTATTTTCTTTAAGAAAAAATGAAAAGCTCTCAGGGTGAGTTTTTCAAACATGTGCAAAATTCGACTGAGCCCTTCACGTGGGCGGGGCGCCACACCAATCACATCCTCTTCTCTAACTAAGCACTTCATTATCTCTCTCTTTCTCACACACACACACACATACACACACAAGCACACACCAAATCTCCCCATGACAACAACCAAGCCGACATTGGCCGTCATGGCGTCCTACCTCGCCGCCAAGCGTTTCGTCGGAGGCCCGCCTTCTTCCGACGGACTCGCTCGCCGCCTCGATTCCCTCCAGTCGCCGAGCATCCAGCTGCCTTCCCGCAGATCGCGACACAAAAGCTTCGGTGCGTATCTCCTGCTCCTTTTCTCATTCATTCCGTTGTGCTGAATTATAATAGCTATTAGCCTTAGCTCTCTCTGCATGCTGTGTTTGGCTTGCTTGAGGAAATGAAGAGAGGATTGGAATTACGTTTTGTTTAGTATGTTGATTTTGATGTTCTCACCTATTTGAGCTGACGGGATGAAGTCTAAGTTTCAGGATTAGTGAAACTCGAAAAGTTACGCCTGGATTGGGCTTCATTCATGAGTTTTAGCAGTTCTCCTGGAATTTGGTTGTTTATCAGTTGTGAAAATGCAGCTTCTCTGAATTGAGATTTTGTTGATTGCTTGTGGGAAAGGGTCGTAGTATTAATTTTTAATTTCATTTGTATATCTAATTGTGCCTGAACTTGATTACATCATTACTAGCTAAATTAGCTTAGGGTTGAATGATTTTGGAGGAGACGTACCAAGTAATGCTGATATATTATCAACCTCTTGGAAATGTGATGGAATGCAGGGGTGACATATTTTTGTCTAGCTGCAGTTCCCCTCCTTTGCATACAGAACCTTGGTTGACATTTTTGATAGACTACACTCGTAGTATGTTTGTTCTTATGTTTATTAGTGTTACGTTTGTCTAGAAATCTAGGAGAAATAATTAGATAGATGGGCACGGACATCAATATTCTATGAGACGTGATTGGCATGCTGTTTTAGCTAATTGGTGTCTGATTTTGCCCTTTGGTTAGCTATTATTTTAAATCTCCGAACCGAACATCCTTGTTTTATCATTTACTGCTTCCAGGATTGTGTGTGTAATTGTGTATGTGTGTCTTCTTTCCCTTTTTTGTGTTAGTGTTGTTTGTCTTTTACTAGTATTCACAAATGATGAAAAGTGACGTGTTTGTGAAATCCAACAATTGTTAGTTCTTGGTGGATGGGAGATGCAGCTTAGCCAGAGTCTAGTTTTGATTACTATCTTTGCTTCTATATTTTTATTCATTATCATCTCTGAAACATGGTATCATCTAGGTAAATTTTGCCCAAGGAAGTTGAGGAACCTTTGTTCATTCAACAAAATTTTACAGTCTTAGCCAGTTGTTTCTATAGATGTCTGGGTTCTGGAGTGATAGAAAGGTTAATATAATGTTGAATACAAGTTACCGGTCATCACCGAAAATGCTTATATGCTTGTTGTCAACAGAAATACAAGCCTCTGGTAGCACCTATGGAAATTACTTCAGAGTTACAACGTTTGGAGAATCTCATGGGGGTGGTGTAGGGTGTGTGATTGATGGTTGCCCTCCAAGACTTCCCCTCTCTGAAGAGGACATGCAAGTTGATCTGGATAGAAGGTGTATATCAAGTTGTTGTATAAACCTCTTTTATGTTGTTCGGGACCTCCTTATATCTTTAAGTAATGATTAGAAAAATATGTTTGTCTTGTATATATGTTCCTGCTGGTTAACGCTGAAAACATAACTAATGCCACGTACTTCATTAAACGATCTGTAAGGATATATGAGAAGCAGCTTTCTATTAACACAATAAGCTTTCTTTTGGAAGGTTTGAGGTACTCTAACAATTCTTTATACACTGATCATGAATATGTTGTTCTGCCATTAGGAGGCCAGGTCAGAGTCGAATAACCACTACTAGAAAAGAGACGGACACCTGTAAAATAGCTTCGGGAATTGCTGATGGTTAGTCATTTCTTGATTCCTTTGTTTCTCTTGCACCTTTCACTTCAAAGTGTCCTTGTATGTTTATTAAAAGAACTGATGAATAATCTATACACTGTAGGGTTCACCACCGGAGCTCCAATCAAGGTAGAAGTGCCCAATACGGATCAAAAAGAACATGTAAGCATCCGTGATCTCTCCTTATATTCTGCTACATCTCTGTGTTTCCTCTAACGGTGGTTGAGGTGGATAAATAAAAGCTGTAATTGAAGAGTTATGCTTTCTCGGTGTAACCCTTTGAAAATATGATGTTCATTTCAGCTTTTTGAATTTTTATAGTTCTTTCTGATAAATGGGAAGGACACGGTACATATAACATGATAACATTAATTCCTAATTGAGGCAGTGGTCATGAGCAGATTAAATTAAGTTCTTGCTCCAAGTTTCTTGGAACTTGGAAGTTATGTAACAAATAACAGGTGTATGCATGTCGTAATAGGGCTAATAGAGTTCAATCTTTTTTTTTTTTTTTGTGGAATTTTTTCCAGTACTATAGTGAAATGTCTCAAGCTTATAGGCCATCCCATGCAGACGCAACTTATGATTTCAAGTATGGCGTTAGATCAGTGCAGGTACCATCTTGTACTTGAAGTAGCTCCTACATCATCTATATCTTTGGAAATTTCTTTCTCAATTTATTTAATCTCTTACTATTTTCCTGGAATGCAGCAATTTTTTTAAAGAAATTAAACTTTTGATTTGTGTGTGTTTGAAACAGGGTGGTGGTAGATCTTCTGCAAGAGAAACAATTGGGAGGGTTGCTGCTGGAGCTGTGGCTAAGAAGATACTAAAGCAATATGCAGGGACTGACGTAGGTTCTTCTTTTTCTTTGAAAGATTAGTTGTGAGCTTATGAATGTTATTCACAACCGTACCAAACAGAGACATTTGTAGTCTGTTCATGGTTGCAGATTCATATGCACCCATATGTCTTAGGTATACCTTCTGATTATGTTTCATGATTAAGCTTCAATTGAAGTGACTCTAGCGCTAGCAATTCCATACCATTGTGAATTAGATGCTTTAGCTGGACCGTGTATTGTCGTTCTCTAGCTTTATTATATTAAGTGATAATTCAATATGTCTTCCGCTTGATCATGAGAATTTTAGTTGGAGAAGCAGGAAACATTTTGATGCTCTCAGTCATTTAATTTTCTTTTGGTTAAGGGGTGGGAGAGAGAACATTATAATAATGACGGAAGTCAATCAGATCATGATAGTTGCTGGAAATGCATATATTGTGATAGTGTGATTTCTATTATTTTCTAATTATATATTCATTCTTTCTGTGACAGATTCTTGCTTATGTTTCTCAAGTGCACAATGTTGTCCTTCCAGAAAATATGGTTGATAGCGAAAATGTGACTCTTGATCAGGTATGTCTAACATTTAATTTATTGTTCGTCCTGTATGATATAAGTATGCAGTCCGCCGTTCTGGTCATGGTGTTTTCTTTATTACTGTGAAGCATTAAGATGTTAGTGATCCAAGTTGTATTTTTCTATGTATTGATATATAATTATGTAACCGTGATTTGCTTAAATGGCATGGAAATTATGAGAACAATGAAAGCCTAATGTGTTTTTTATGCAACATACAATTCACATTTGTAAATAAAGGACAGTTCAGAAAAGATGAGAGAAAGGAAGGAAGTTACGGCCTATCTTCCTATCTTCCTAAGTTGTCTATTTTCCCATCCCGTCCGGCCTTTAATTTTCTACACATTTTTTTCCAAGTTTGGTTTCTTTTCCTTTTCCTTTTGGAAAAGAAAAGTTAGCATGGATATTAATTAGGCATTAATAAGACAATGAAGTTTATTATAATCCAATATTCTCAGATAGAGAGCAATATCGTAAGGTGCCCAAACCCTGAGTATGCGGAAAAAATGATTGCTGCTATTGATGCTGTCCGAGTGAAAGGTGACTCTGTTGGGGGTGTTGTCACCTGTATGGTTCGGAATGTACCACGGGTATGCTAGCACTGTTCTTGATTCATTCCTCACTATGAATTCCTCCTCTCCACCTTTGTGCATCTCTCATTTATGTGATGTTACTTGTTAAATTTTATCCGTGTTAACTTCAAAACTCTGAGAAAAATGCTGAATCAGTTTGTGCCTTGTTAGGGACTTGGTTCTCCAGTCTTTGATAAACTTCAAGCTGAGTTGGCAAAAGCTGTTATGTCAGTACCTGCAACGATAGGCTTTGAGTTTGGCAGTGGATTCGCAGGTGCAAAATCATACGGGTTTTTGATTTACAATGTTGCATTATTTGATGACCAACTATTTAACTGCTAAGGTCCTCGTGATGAAAATATTGAACAGGTACATTTATGACTGGTAGTCAGCATAATGATGAATTCTACATGGATAAACAAGGTCGAATTAGGACAAAAACCAACCGGTCTGGTGGGATACAGGTATATTTAATTTAGATAGCTTTTGTGAACTCAAGTATGGAATTCTCTGTCCATCATTTTCCAGTGTGTTATTCACGACACCATATTCATTTTCAGGGTGGAATATCAAATGGAGAAACAATTAACATGAGAATAGCTTTCAAGCCAACACCTACAATCTTCGTATGTTGTCTCTCTCTTTCTCTTCACGCTCATCTTCAATTTTCTTGTGCATGGATTTTGATCGCTCGACTCTGTAAATAGTAAAAGAAGTGTTGGATGCATTAGTGGTCAGACATTCATTCAAATATTGTCGCTGGGTTTGTTCAAGATTTTGACTAGCCAAACAAATACGTATTATAAGTTATAACTCTTCATTATCTAGTTTTCTGTGATTTAGTCATGAGCGGTTTTTTAGTCAAATTTTGAAGCTTTGTGCGTCGGAAATGCGGTCAAGTTGTGATCTCCAGTATGGAGCTTTAATAAGCGGTAACTATGTGGGGCCTGTACAAGATCAATCTAAGACATGTTGAAGGCTTATGTTTGTTGCCTTGATGGTTTTGTTCTCTAATAATTACTGGGTTACATAACTTGCCAATTGATCCTTGTGAGTTGTGGTTGGTAGATGAATATGCATAGAAGATCCATGGCTTTGATAGGCTCTGGAACAAAAATGTAACATTTATATCAGCTTATATTTTTAATGGAATGTGGAAAGAATGATGAATTGAGAACTAAGTTGCATTCTCATTTACAAGTGTTTACTTTTAGCTTGTAGCCTATATCATCAGCTTATTGCAAACATTAGACTGAAACCATAATGAGTTAGAGCTACATCAACTGTGTTATCTCAAATATACTTATCAATTATTTTAAACTTTCCTGCAGAAGAAGCAGCATACTGTGACGAGAGACAGGCACGACACGGAGCTCATAGTTCGAGGTCGTCACGATCCTTGTGTTGTTTCACGAGGTACGTTGACTGAGATGATATAATAATCTTTTGCATTTATCTAAAGATCGTGCCATCCTTTTAGTTATACCCTATTAACTATTTATTCTTGTTTATAATGCTAATGGAAATATGGAACTAGTCTTGCTTCCTTGCAATTTTCGGTATGTTGGGACACTGGACATGTAATTTAATTTAGAAAAAATGATTACATAAACCACCCCTTTGTTTTAGGGGTCCCGTTTACCTTTACAAACCACAAATGCCTCGTCAATATACCACTAGTATCCCGTTGGTGTCTTGTCTGTTTTACGTTTCATCCACTCAGTAGGTGTAATTTATGAACCGTATCATATATCAAGTATCTGTAATTTTGAGAAACGTTATTCATCTTTTGTCTTTTTAGCTGTCCCGATCGTAGAAGCAATGGTTGCTCTGGTGCTGGTTGATCAATTAATGGCACAATATGCGCAATGTATGCTTTTCCCGATTAATCCAGCACTACAGGAGCCCCTTCAGCTGCCTAAAGATGAGCAGCCACAGGTTCTCCATTAACGGTGCGTGTTTTGTGGCTCTCATCATGGCTTTATCTGTCTTATACCGGCGTTTTAATATAATTTGTACTGTAAAGTGATCATTGATGTGTTTACTGGATTATTTGTCTTTTCCTTCTTTTGTGTTGTTGATTTTGCCCCTTAAAAGGGGAAGGTCGAAAACTGGGTCGGTCTGCATTCAGAAAAACAAGTTTAGATTGTATGCATTTTCTCAGTTGAACCTTTCAGAAATATCTCAACAATATAATTTATCGAGTTAGTTTTTATGATGGCACTAATATGTCCATAGATGGATAGCTCAGATTTAACTAAACTAGTATGACACAATATTTTATGTAGAAAATATTGCAAGTAGAAGATAAGTGTTAACTGTTAGTTATCTGGAAGAATGAACCCAAGTAAGGCGACTTAGACACTCTCTAGCAGGTGGAGGTAATCAGCATGCCTAATGTTAATAATTTTTTCATATCTGGCCACATTCCTGTGGCGAAATTGCATTTCTAGTCCCGCTGGTTTAACGTTGTAGCATTTTTAGTCCTAAGATTTTAGCTTTTTGTCTTTTGGTCCTGTAATTTGGTATTTTGTTGCAATTTCAGTCTTTTGAGACTGAAATTGCAGCAAAATATGAAATTACAGGACTTAATTTGCTAATAAAAATTTCATCCAAAAGATTTTTTATTAGCAATTTAAGTCCTATAATTTTATATTTTGTTGCATTTTCAGTCCCAATGGACTGAAATTGCATTAAATTTTAAAATCATAGGACTAAATAGCAAAAATGTTCAATTCGTAGGACTAAAAACGTAAATGGATCAAACCAAGAAGACTAAAATTACAATTTTGCCCATTCCTGTCAAACAACTTATCCTCTAAACTAAAATGTTTTTTTTTATAAGCAAAAAAAAGTTTTTTTTTTTTTTAATTTTTTTTTTTATATATCTAGAAACAGAGAAAAAGAATCCTCAAAGGTAGGGGTGTTCACGGTCCAAATTGGTCCGGTTTTAGCCCAAACCATGACAAAATCAGATCTAACAGTTATTTTTTTTTTCTTGTCCATAACCGGACCAGTTTTATTTTTTAGTCGGCCACAATCCGGACTGCATTGGACGGTCCGGTTTGACGGTTAACTGGTTAAATCCAAAATCCTTGTTTTGGGCCTTCAATTTTTATTTTTTATTTTGGACTTAATTTTTATTTTTCAATTTTGGGCCCAAAATAGATTATTTGGGCCTAAAAATTAAGAAAAACAACAATAATGAAATAAAAAATACACAATTCGTCCCATAAACATAAAAATACACATTTCGTCCCATAAACATAAAAATACAAAAATGGGAAAAAGTGAAAATTTATAGTGTCTTACAAAATTAAGTCAACAAAAAGTCAAAAAATGATAAAAAACCGGCGGTTTGGCACAGGTAATCCGTTAACCGTACCGGTTATTCCAGATTTTTAATAAAATAACCATCAGATTTTTTAAGGCTTTTTAACCGATCATTTAACCGATCCGTGGTCCGAATTGACAGTTTTTTTCAGTTAAAACCGGACCGAGAACACCCCTACTCAAAGGTTGGAAAACATGGAACCCTGAAAATTTTAACCCGGAAAAACTCTTTGAAATCCTAAATTCCCCAGAAATCAGTAATGATAAAAAAAAGTGAAATATGTTTATCGAAGTAGAAGTGAAACATTTTGTTGAAATTGTGACTGGGTTTATGATAAAAACCTGATGATTGAAGTTGGTGTGATAATAATTAAATAGTAACTAGTACTAATATTCATGTACAACATAAGTAATGAGTTAATGAGTAAAAAATATTTATGTTTAATACCAAACTTAACTCCAGAGTAAAAATAATATAAAAACAACATCACGAAGTATAGATTTTTGCCATGTCAACATCCGAAGCGTGAGAATCTGCCACCTAAGCTTAACACGTTTTTGAATTAATATATAGGGAGAGATATTTTTTTTTGGTACAGGGACCTTTCGGTTTCCGGATCCACAGGGGAACCGACTAATCCGGAATCGAGCCGGGTAGGACCACAAGGGCGGCAAAGCTCTCCCTCAAGAGTTTTAACACTGCTGCATTCCCAGGGCTCGAACTCGAGACCACTGGTTAAGCTGGAATAGCTTTTTTGTTGGAAAATGTATAGCACTCATTGGTTCTTATTTAGAATTGTGTTGATGGGGTTAGGGACAAAAATGATATATATAATGATAACTTTGTGTATTCGAAACTTCAATGAAACACATTTTGCTCGATCAAATGAAAAATGAAAATATTCTATAACGAATTGCTCCCTGAAAGAATTGAACATTTGAAATCAAAACCCAGAATTGAAAAAAGACACTAATAATTATTGTTTGTTTGTTTGTTTTGTTTTTGCTTTGTTTGATGGAATTTTCCTGATAAATGGTCCTCACATAAAGTTATCTTTTTTTTTTTTTTTTGTTCTCTAGTTGCCCTTATTCTGAAGATGCTTGTTTGCTAGCTATGATTGAGCAGGATTGGCTGGATTCTGACACAGGGATTTGATACAGTGCTACAAATATCACCGGGCGCTTAATTTCGCTAAAAATATTCCGAAAAATCGTTTTCTTTGAACATCCAACGGTAAGTGAGTTGAGTTTTACTTTCACGACATTCATTTGCTGACTCGTGTTTTTGCAGAGCTCGATTCGAAGAGAAGGCTATCTAATACTAGGCCCTCGTCAAAAAAAACGAGCGGGTTTTAGCTGTGGCGCCAAAATTCGTAGAGAATTGCTCGAATTATGGTAACAAAAAAATTGTTTTTCTACAGTATCCATAGACATTAAATATCATGGTCATTTATAGTTTTAACTTTTGTGATATGATATGCTTTTTGATTTTGTTGGTTGTTAGCATTGAAACAACCGGAAGTTTGTCGCCTAAATGCTGAGATGAGGTCAAATTGCAAAGCTTCATAAGAGCATTAAAAATGGGGACAAATGATAATTATGCTACATTGAAAATGTCTGGCCCTGCAAAATATTCGAAAAAGACGTGCAGCTTATTGAAGTTATAGTCTCGTGTGTGCATAATATGCTGTGTTTTTGTTAGTTTAGGTACCGTTTTGTATATATATATAATCATTCCTTCGGGTTTGTAACTGTTAGATCAATTATCTCTGACGTTACATGTTGATGTAACAGTTACAAACCTGAAAGAATGGTTCCGTAACGGACCGTAACATCTTCCTAATATATATA